CTGGTAGCAATTTGACTGTCTCACTTAGACTGGATCCTTCCTACAGAATAGTCTCTCCATCCTATGGTGATTTCATTGGATTTGTTCCCACTGTGGGAGTCCTATTGTTGATGCCCTTCCAATTCCACTCATACCTAGCTTCCACTCTTTTGGTCTTCATTCACAAACACTACATCTCTGTCAGAGGAAGCACTGTGTCGGGAGCCATTCAATCTTTTTATATGTATCAGACATTTTCTACCTTGGCTGTTTCTTGCAGTATTTAGGATTAATAATTTTCCCTGAGTGCTCTATCTTCAAAACTGATTGTAAGAGTGATTAGATGTTTTCTTCTTTCACTATTTCTTCCATTTCTTCCCTGTATGATCATTCTAGTCCAGATCATCATCTTTGTTCTGTACAAGCTGTTCATTATTATCATATTTGCACTGCTCCTTTTCAGTGAGTTACATGAGACCCCTTTTCTCCAACCCTTGATTTTTGCAGGAGTTCTAGAGCCTTTGGAATTAAGGGTTGATGTCACTCATCTGCATTCATTCCTGTCATTGTTGGCTTCTTGACTTTCTTCAGCTGCCCCTATTCATGTGTCCTGATCCTCTCAGTCCTTTGGTACCCAGAATAGATTCCATCCATATACACGAGGGGACAGTGCTATGCCTGTGGGGGCTAGGACAACCATTATCCACTCAACCTGTAGTTTTTCTGCCTCCTACAGATTCTCGGATTTCAGAACTTTGTTCTAGGGCTATCAGAAATTTGTTGGTCAAGGAAGCAGTGGAGAAAGTTGTCCCAATTCTTCCAGGGTTTTATTCCCATCTGTTAGTTGTGCCCAAATAGACAGAAGATTGGCATCTGGCCATCATTCTTCCTCATTTATATTAATTCTTTTCCACCACTATCTGCGTTTTGTGCACAAGGATCAGGTGTTGCATTTTATGGCTCTGCCCTTCGGACTAGCATCGGCACCATATATGTTCTGTCAAATTGTATGAGCTTTTTCTATTTACCTCCATTCTCTAGACCTGTGCACACACCATTACATAAATGACTTGTTACTGCTGGCACCCCTCTTGTCAGTTAAAGGAACATCACATCCAGATCCTATTTTCAAAAGCAACTAAAGCAAGCTTTATTATCAGAGCCAAAAAAATCTATTCTCACTCCTCCACAATATATCATCCATCTGGGTGTCTTTTTCAACACATATTTCAGTCGGGCTTAGCCGACTCCCATCTGGCTCCACACTTTGGAACAGGTAGTCCTTCTCTTACCTATCTTTCTCCAACTGTGCAGATGGTTCTTTCTCTTTTGGGGATGTGGGGTTCACTCAAATCCCTCATTCCTTTGGGACAAGTGCACACAAGATCCCTTCAGTGGTCTCTACACAACCAATGGATCATGAACAGCAGTTTACCGGATTCCCCAGTCTTCTTATTCAGAATCAGCATCTTTGATCTCGAGTGGTGGTTAGATTGGAACAATACCACGATAGGTGTTTCTCTACCTCCACCTTGTCCAGATATCCATCACTTTATGAATGCATCACTTCAGGTATGGAGTGTATATTTCAGCAGTCAGAAATTCCAGGGCCTATGGATGGATGACAAGGCTTCCCTACACAATGTTTTAGAACTTCTTGATGTTCAAAGGGCGATTTTTCAAGGTCTGGACTTATTAAGGGGGAAAATTGTCATGCTTCACTTTGACAATTCCACGATGGTGTGTTACACTCCCCATCATGTGGGCAATCGGTCCAGGTCTCTTTGTTTTCAAACTTTGCATCTTCTTTAATGGGTCCACTCCAACAAGATCGTCCTACTAGCTTGCCATGTTTTGGGGATGATGAATTTGGTGGCAGATCAATTGTCTCGATCCAACTGGATTCTCCCAACAGAATGAATACTGCATCGCAAGGTTTTTTGTTGGATTTGATCCTGGTTTGGAGTCATGCATGGAAGTTATGTGGTTCTTCACACGGTGGTGAGGTTTAACTTCTAAAGTTGTCATGTATCTGTCTTGGTTTTTGTGTTGTCCCACAATGGACATTTCTCAGTGGAAATGGAACACGTATCAACAATGTTAACTTGTCAAGGTGGGTACAAAAATTGATCCATATCATTTATTCTAGGCTCTCTCTGAAGGAGAGGAGACTTCTGTGAGTTGCATTTCATCAAATTTGTCAAATTTTTATTTCCTTAGTGGCTCGGTTGAATTACCCGCTGGAAGGCATTGTGTGAGCTGATATGTGGAACTCCTTCAGCACTTTTATCTCACATTTTTTGCATGATCTGGGAGTATCTTCCTCCAAGGGTTTTTAACTACCCCCTGTAGCTATCTTAACCACATTTGCTAGGTTATAAGGAGGTGTGAGTATCTTCATTACTAATATTGTCTCTTCTTTACTTTCCAGGTTCCCTTGTCTCTTTTTCACAGGATCCCACTCTGTGGTGAGTGTTGCCTAGGCAGGTGTGTATCAAACCACTTCCGCACTAGCAACCATTAACACAATACACTTTATCTAGGTTGCAACAGGCTCTCTAGAAATGAGGTGTTCTATAAGACCACATAGAGGCAGACTGGGTGGTATTACTCTACTCTACTGGACTATCATTAGTAAAGTATAAGGGGATACTGCTACTCTATTCTATTGGCATATCTAGGGAGTCCTTACCACACCCAGTTTTTGAGTGAATTTCCTCCACTCTTGGAGTAGAGAGCGAAGTTGGGAGCACTCGGGCTATCCAGTTGGGTTGAGCATGGCTCACTCGTTTTGAGTAATATCAGTTCAGTACATTATTCATGGAAGAGGGTCCATTGTCTACTCGTAATTCCAAAAACAGGGTGGTCTCATCCTGCGTTCTTAGTTGAACATGGTTTGTTCCACATTCTTCCTATAATTCTGGGAGCAAATGGAATTTACCTTGCCCACATGGGTGGGGAGTGAGGATGAGTGTTCATAATTCCAGACCAGATGAGTTCTGTTTCCTCCGGTTGAGTATGCCGTTTATGATCCCATTATTCCAAGTTTCAGGTGTTGCCTTTTGGACGTTTTAGGTTGAGGAGAAGGTTTGTCCACTGCTGTGTTGTTTCCATTCTCGTTATAATTCCTGTGACTCGGAATGCATCATTCTATAGCTACAGGTTGGAATATACTCACAATTATATATATTATAGTCCAACTGCCCCAGCCATCAACATGGGATTTAGGGACCATGGCCCTATAATTCCAAACCCAAGTAGTGGAACCTCAACTCTCTGGTTGGGTCCTGACCAATAGTTAGGACAGATCATCTCAAATTCCACCTGCTGTGCATGAATTAGGTTCCAGGTGAAGAGCATACCTGTTCTGGATGTAGTACAGTTCCCCCACTAGGGTGCTTATCTTCTATTGGCATGCCCACAATCTATGCAAATGCATTCTGTATTGATAATGCCCCCCACCAGCCCCTTCACCTTATCAATGTGGGATGTAAGCGTGAGCGGAGGTAAGAATGTTTTGGAAGTTAACATTTTCTTAAATCATAGGTGGGGAAGTGTCTCAAGACAGATATCACCAAGGGCAATTAAGTGGGGAATAATAGACTGGAGCAAGTGAGAAAAAAATCACACCCATGCTTAGATGGGCAAAGGAAGGAAACCCTAGCAGTCGAGTAATAGCTGTATGTGAGTAGAGGTAAACATTATTGGAAATACATTTTTGATTTAAGAAAATGTTAACTTTCAGATAGTTACCTCTCTGCACAAGCTCCCACCCTTCCTTCCTACTTCTGGTATATTTATTTTACATCGTCAAAAATGAGCCTTTGTTTAAATGCTAGGACTCGAGCAGAATATTGCACATGGAGGATGTGTCACCCTTCTATTAGTGGAGGGCTATAATCTAATGATAATTATGTAACAGTTTGGTGCAATATATCTTAGAACATTTAGTGGTGAGAGCATTGTTTAAGGCTAGTGATGAGTGCAAAAATCTTTACAGCAGTGATGTGAGGTAATAGCTGTTTGTTATGAAGAGAGGTGAGTAACTGTCTGAAATACACTTTCAGTTGAAGAAAATGTTAAAGTTTCAACTTCAAGGTTATTTATTGCAGGCTAATAATAACATGAAACAGATTTCATAAAATATCTTGAATGTTTGCTAAGTAAGTTGGGAACAGTGAATACAAAACCTAGATAGTTATCAATTGACTTTGAGTTTCTTGAGGAACATGGAAAAACAAATTACAATTTGATTCTTTGTTAGCCTATAAGATTTGTTATTATATGACTAAACCATTCATTAACAACTAAATATAACTTCTTCAGGGTTAATCAGTAACAAGTTATTCAATTTCAGTGATGCTAAGTGTTTTAGATAATGCTTATTACAATAATTTAATATTATAAGATAAATAATCTTGTTTGCTTCTAGCATCATGTGCATCAATTTGGATACACATTAGGTAGCTCTCAGCAAGGATAGTTATTCTTCCAAATGTTTCCATAAAATATGGGTAGAATTATAAGAATGAAAATTTAGAAGGATTATAGGTCATGGAGAAAGAGAAAAAAGGGGGAAAAGAGCAAAAATTGGGAAAGAAAAGGAGAAGAAAGAAACTGAAGAAAGGCAAAGGAAAAAGAAACTGTATATTGACTATTAGGTTTTGTCACTAAGCTCTACCACTATGTCTTTGTCATCAACCAGATGAAGGGAAAAATTAGGGAACATTTTAGTATTTTTGATAGAATCTATAGGAGAACTTTATATTTTTGGCAGAATATTTACCACTGGCTCTTATTTAGTGTTCATTCAGAGCAGTGCTAAGTTATTTCACTTTTCAATAGTTTTGTAACACATTAAAACAAGTGCACTTCTGGGATACAATATTATTGTTTTATTAAGTGTAGTAGTATGCAAAACATACTAGAAGGAAACTTAGATATCAATCAGTATTGAAGTTTTAAAGATATGTGTGTATACACTAGTTTAAAAAATTATTGTAATTATTTTTCTTTTGTAGATTTCCACTTGATCAGCAAAAAAATGGGTGCTGTGTGGCAATCCCTTTCAGCCAAAGAGAAGATGGTAAAAATTTAATAGAACATAATTATATGGTCTTTTTTATCCAGGATCAACTAATATGATTGTATTTATTTTGGATATAACTATAGTGAGATTTATAACCAACCGTTTCATTACATTGCTTATTACCAATTTTCTTGTTCCTTGATGAGTCATTGGTAAGTTTGAAGACTTACAGTGGTAAAATATGAAGATTGATTCCCCATGGTGGACAGTGTGCAGATTGCCTGTTATGTAGCTTTGTGCTAAAAATAAATAAGCAAACAAACCAATTTTGCTTTTCATGTAGTCATATTGGTAAAAAGGAACTCACCTATTTTTGTAATACTAAGAAATGGAATACAATTTAGAACATTTAAGTGATTTTCATTGAATATGCATTTGATCAACTATATATGAAAATAAATACAACAGTGGAGTTTCAGAAAATTACATTGGTATTTAAAGTTTAGATTTAGATAACAGCCGAGTTTTCATAAGCATTTTTTATTTTTATGTTTCTTTCAAATTTTAAAACTTGAAAATGGATAAGTTATATTTGAATGTAATGGCTTACAACACCAACATATATTTCAACAACAAAATTTTTTTTTTCCTACTGTTTTAATTGTTAGGCATGGAAAAGAAAAGCAAAACAATCTGCTAAGCTGCAGAAGAATGCTCTGGCTAAGGGTGTTACATTCATCAGTACAGGGAAGTCGGGCTCTGCTTTAGGACAGTTTGCCAGTTCTGGTGGTGGAGCTAACAGGAATCAATCTAATGTTACTAACATCAGTTCCATTTGTGATCCTAAAACAAAACTCCCGAGAACAACACCGCTTGATGTCGCTGCTCACTTAAAGCTCCTGGGTGATTCTCTTAGCATTATTGGTCAAAGATTGACTGAGCATGAAGTGAGAACATTTTAATTTAAAATTGTTGTATAGTACCTCATTTTTATTATCAATTCTAAGTTTTGTCTTAAGTGTTTTATGTGATATTACAGGAAAGATTTGATTGTTAATTGTTATTTCTCCAGGCCTAATACTTTCTGTAAAATATTTTTCTGTTTATTTTTTAATTACACATATTAAAAGCTTATAAAAGATATATAACTTGTACACGTTTTCCACTGTTTTTCATGAAAGGATCGTCTAACCTAGTCGTCTCCAGTTATTTTTTCCTCCTGGGTGCTACTTAATTGTAATGAACAGAAAGTTGCAGTTTGGGGGAGAGAGCAATGTTGGCATAGGTGAACAGCTTTGTTTGATAGCTTTTTAAAATAACTTCTAACAAAGTGATACTGCAGGCCAATAATCAGGGTTTTGGGGCCTCAGTTGGAGAGATATGTTTTAACTGTTTTGACATTACATCAAGTAAATTTTCTCCACCAGTTGTTCTGCTTATTTCTGATGATGGACTTTGTTAATGAAACTTTGCAGGGTTTTTGAAAAACTTGTCTGATAAAAATACCTAAATAGCTTACATCATTTAATATTTGATGTAACCAAAACTTAATGTATGTATGCTTATGTTTCAGTAGGTTTGTTAAAAGTAGTTATGTAGTGTTCACATTCTAGGTGGTGCTCTTCTATCACCCTTGTTCACCAACTATTCTCACACTGTTAAACACCTTTGTTTTTGTATTATGTAAATGTTGATTCTATTGAATAATACATTAGTAAATATATAAGTATTATTAGCAAATAGTAAAATTTTTACTAAAAAAAGAGCTGTGTAAGTGGTGTGAGATTTATAATTAAGTACTTATAAAAACTTGCGATTAAAAGTGAACTCCATTATAATTATCTTTCCCATAACAAATGAAAATGTTTTCAAAATACTCCTGGACAGGATGCCAATCCATCACAGGTTAACTAGCGGCTATTAGCTGGAACAAATTGTATAGCTAAATAAACAAGCAAATTTTGGGGTAAAGTATCTTCCTTAATGACACAACAACTAGGGGTGGGTGAACTTTGTATCTGAAACCTTTCATCTAGAAATGGAGTTCAGTCAAACTGGATTAATGTCACAAGTGGGGTACCACAGGGTTCAGTCTTAGAACCTTTGCTCTTTTTGATTTACATCAATGACATAGATGAAGGAATAGCAGTGGTGTAGCAAGGGTTCTCAGCACCCGGGAACAAAGACATTTTTGCCGCTCCCACCTCTGAAATGTTTTGATTATTTGTTTTGTGACTCATTACCCACTTAATGAAAATAACATAAAGAATTAATTACTGCCTTACACAGGCCTAAAATAAAGTCACAATATAACATCTCACGATATCACAACTGTAAACCTGG